CCCACGCCCCGCTCCGCTCCGCCGCGCCGCGCGCCAGACCGTGTCCTCCGCCCCAGCCCCCGCCCTCACAGGCAGCGACGCATTCCGCACGCGCGCACCTCGCGCCCTTCGCCCCCACCCCTCCTGCGCACGGCTCAGAGATTGAACAAAAGGCAGTGAATCAGGGAAGCGGCGTTCACACATGGATTAAGATAGTCTCATGACAATATAATAAGTGATATATAATTAAATGCTAAGGTTCCAATTTTATTATCGAGCAACATTGTATTCTTCTGAATAAGAATATATTATTTTCTGCTGCCCTATGACTTTAACTTTCTCGTCCTTACTGCGTAAGAAGAGAAAGTACTATAGTCGTGTGCCGGAAAATTGCGTATTTTCGATAGTAAAACTGATTTTGCCGGGTCCTGATCAGGCAGATGTGGATAAATCTTGTTCCCATATATATTAAATTACTTCCTGTAACAGGTTGTGCAGTCAGAAACTGTGATTTTCTACCTCGTCTTCTGTGTTGGTCTTCCTTGATACCGAAAGATCAATTGAGAATAAAACATGTGTATGTCCGTCCACTCGTCGATCCGTCCGCCCGCCTGTGTGTCTATCGGACCCATCTGTCCTGTCCGCCCCATGTGTCTGAAAAGTCTGTCTGAAACGTCTGCCTGAACGTCTGCACATCCATCCGTCTGTGGTCAACGCCAGTGCCTTAACCGTTCACAAAATTTTCTCGAGAAGTGCTATTCCCCGACCGATATGAACGAACTCGGGGCCCTCTGTGTTTGAAATGGATATTTTTATTTTGGGGGTACTTTACATTATGCCTCAATTACATTTTTAAAATGTCTGACTAACTCGATTAGTTTGCTCGGTACATTTAGTTTTGAGCCATCTCCGGTGGTGGTCACGGAGAGAAACAGTGGCATAAGTAGTATCGCTTCGATCTGAATTCTTCACATTCGTAGGGTCAGAATCCGCCTGCAACGAATTTGGGTCCCATTATTGGTATAAAAATGTTTTAAATTACCTTTTAGACATACTTAATGTTGTTTTCTTTAATTGTTTATGAAACGGATCGTTCGCCAATTGGGTCTTAATGCATTATTGGCCTGAAATTATGTTTTAAACGAAGGCTTTCAATAAGGCTCAGAATAACAACGGCAGATCCCAAATAAAGTTCGTTTCGAGAAAAAATACTTTTTCTTTTTTCGTTCACGTTCACTTTCACTCCGGAACAAGATTTGAAGATGGAAATTGAGGATTTTGCTATATTCCAATTCATTTGATATTCCAGCATATAAGTATATTGCAGGGAATTACCATTATACTTGTAACTAAAAGTGAGACGTCGGTTGGGATCGGTCGTCATTATCCTGCTCACCTCATTTGGGCGATAATGCTTTGAAAATCAGGAACGTGATTAAAATTTGAGGATTTCTAATATCACGTGGCGTGCTCACGGTCGGATCTGCTCCCTGGCGCGAAGAGAGTTTTTGAAGAGCGTAGCGTGAAAACTTACGAGCCAATCACGTGACCAATAGCGTGTGAAGTGTAGAAATAGTTTTTGCAAAACGTTTCGTTCTAAATCAAGTAGTTCCGAACTTTTGAGACAGTGTGCCATACGTTTCTATAATGGCTCATCCTCTTCATTCGCATCTTTTCGACTAGACATTAGGGCTACCCACGTACCGCTTATCCGCATATACTATTTTCATATTAAATATAATTTATATTGTTTGAATTGACCATTATTTATACTGATTAATGCCACCAATACGTAGCATCGTGGTTATATGTTTTACCCGAATTCTCTGCCTCCACAGCTAGAAACAAATTCGATAAAGCGTGTCTGGTTTAGTGTGCGACGTAAGTCGGGTGATGACACTAGCTGGCGGCGCTAATTCTAGCAGAAAGGCGTTTTCCGCTGTAATGGAAGAGCTCAGTAGAACAACAGGCTATTCCATATTTTTTGTGAAATTGAGTTATTTCATGTGTTATTTTGTGAAAATATTAACGTTTTAGTGTGATGTGTTTTTTGTTTTAAATCCAGAGTAGACTTATATGCAAATGCACTGTGTTTGAGAGTTTAAAACGAATACTGAGTTATACTATTATTAATGTTCTCTATCTGAGAACTAGGTCAACTCGGGCTATCCCTTTCCCGAGTCCTCAATTGCAGCGTGCGGTTGGGTGCGGTGGCGCGTGCGCAGGGCTCACCTGGGCGCGAGGTGCGGGCCGAGGAAGGCCTCCTGGCCGCCGGCGCACAGCCCGGCCTCGTAGTCGCGCCACGAGCGGCAGCGCACCCCGCGCAAGGCGCGCGCGTGGTACACCGACTCGGCGAAGTAGCGCGGCGCGATCAGGTGGCTGCACACCACTGCAACGCACACTCGCCACAATCACCACTTGGACGGCGGCAAACAGCTTGCTCAAGGAAAGAATTGTGTTAGTGGAACTTTTTTTTTGTTGTGCCTCAAAAATGGAATATCAGTTTCAAGTCTGTTTTGTTATATAAAATATTCTATTACTAATTTTATCTCTTTAATAAATGGAGACAGACTGAATGAAACAGCTAAGACAAGTTTTGGAATTCCTGATTGCTAGATACCGATTTAATCGATATCGCTTCAGCATTGTAGAGTACTCTCCTGGCCAAGGTGCATTCATGATTTGCGTCGGTTCGAATACCCATCCAAAACCGACCATTGTTGCTATGTGTCTGTGGTTAAGTCGGAGAAAGAGACAAAATAGCAAAAATGTAAAGCAATCTGTGGTTGGGCCGCACCGAAGTTGACGGAACACGTGCAACTAAGTTCTAACGGTTTGGTTACTTCTTATATTAAAAATGCTCATATAACCAGCTTTTGCCCCTTTTGAAGCGCTTGTATAGTAAACATTAGCAACGTAACAGTGGTGTAGCAATATTAGCTTCAAATCGATGAATCCACAAAACCCAGAGAACCAGAATGTGTGCGCACCGCTGCGACAATGGACGAGCGCTATGTGCCCAAAATTATGTTGGTCGTTGAAGTAATTTATTTATTTTATCCCTAGTAATGCAGTTTGAAATAAACTTTGCATTTTCACATGATTCAATTTTGACTACTGGTTAGTAAAGAATTATAGATTAATTCACGTAACTATCCCTTTTTATTAAAACCACTAAATATTATTTGCTGTAAAATAATAGAGGTGTATAATCTATTAAAACATTTTCCCGCAAGTAAAGAAATGCCAAAATCTTTGAGAGTTGAACCGTAGTGTCTATCGTCTACACAGAGAGCAAACGCTGCTGTTGCTGTTACCGTGCACGGGCTGTCCGGCGCAGGCGGGCTGCGGGCTGCGTCCGCCGTTGGGGTAGAAGTCGGCGTGCCCCAGGGGCTCCTCGAAGGACACGATGCCGGCCGCTGTGTGCAGCACCGCCACGAAGTCGGCGTCCGCCGCGTCCAGGCGCTCCGCCTCGCCCACGTCGGTGAAGCCCGGCCGCGCTGGGTCCAGCGCTGCGCACACCACACAACATGCACTACATAGCCTTGCGGATCACAAGTGAAGCCCGGTCGGTAGCCGAATTGCGTCACTACGCTCCGTGAAGCCACAGTGGTTGAGCAATTCGAGACACCGCGGATTTCTGCTTGGATGACCGTCTGGAATCGGATATTACTGGTATCTAACGGAGCCGAATCTCTGGCTGAACGGATAAAAGGCAATGTCTGACTAAGAAGGATGATGACTGAGTAATTTAACAGACATTACTGTACGTTCGACGCTACTAATTGGGTAAGAGAACGTTACGAAATGAAGTTAAAATTTCGTTTTTTTAAAGTAACACAATAACCCACAACAAGCCACCCGCGACCCGTAATTGTTAATACATCCGTTTCGCTGAAATTGTAACTTATCTTGTTGCAACATAGGTGTTTCAGAATAAATACCACAAACTTGTAAGGCATGTAGAAGGATCGAAGATGAGCAAGAAGTTTGCCAGTGAACATTTTTTACGTTTAATTTATTGATAATTTAAAATTTGATTTTTAAATATAAAGTCCAGCAAAAATGGTTCTTGATGATGAACATACGGATCTTAAACTTTTGTACAGAGCACTTGAAGTGGAAACTTTCATGAAACGAAGTTACACATATGTTAGCCCCTGATTGTTAGGCAACTCTTCATACATCGCTGTGCCACAGGTTCACAAAATCTCTTTCCCTGGGGGAGTTTCGTAACCGGCTTAATGTCATTTGTGTAACTTAATTATATGAAATTTACCACCACATGTTCATTAGAGAAATGTCCTCTTTATGTTCTAAAAGATTGTAACATGTATTCTTATTCTTCTTGAATAATGTCTTGTTCATAATTTTGTAAAAGTTTGTAGAAATAGAAAAAGCCAGGAACATCGTTCAAAATTGAGATTTACTTACAGCACCAAGCTTTCAAGGGATAGAGAGGCATATTTTGTTACAACCCCAATCTCTTCATACATTCATCTCTTCAACAAATCATCATTGTATAGTAATTGAGTAGGCTGCGTCCGTCCATCGCTCACAGTTGGACCACACCGCTACCAAAGACAAATGAGGTCTTTGACGCGTCTCAGTCTCCTTATGGAAATTTTTTCTTTCTTTTTTTAACAATCCCAAAAATTCTGAAAAATCTATATCAAACTTTTACGTATTTCTTAGACAACTAGAAACTATAGAAATCGTTTATTTACAATTCTTACCTGATTGTCTCTAAGATATTCTAGAACATATCTTGAAAAACAAGTGTTTTTTTTTTTTAGAATTCAGCCGCTGTCTCGAGGAGAAGAATTTTAGTGACAGACTGCTCTGATTAGTAGTTTTCTGTGGTTTCTCCGATCAACACCAGGAAAATGCCGGAGAACTTTATCAAACGAGACACGGATTGTGGTGGTATTAAAACAAAGGTTTTCATAGTCCTCTTGTCATCTGTGCACCAGCATTAAATGCAGGAAATGTAATTTTGGCCGTCCGGATGGCCGAGGTCATTAAGGTAGTAGTGCCGTAGCGATCTCGGACCGAAGGATCGCTCCCGCCTCGGGAATGGTTGTAGTTGTGTTCATCCTTTCACACCTCTATCATCACATCATGTCATCTTCACAGTTATCATACCGTTAAATGCATTAGTGGTAGCTAATAACCTGTATTTTAATGCGACCTTAAATAATTAAAAATATTAAATATTGTATTGGGTAGGATTATTAATACGATTTTCTTATTTTCGACGAAAATCGTGGCATTTAACTATTTACATCCGATCACTTCGTTTATCTGTTCAGTTCTGTATCGTGTATCTGTTCAGTCAGTGGCCCTGAGGAAGTATCAATGAGTTATGGAGTTCGGTATTCTGTTACGACTTGCAAGTCACTGACAGTCTGTTATCCCGCATATTACAAGATAGTAACAAGTATTTTTTGCTAGTAAAGTTTGTCAGTTTTCGATCGATTTATCGTCAGACCTTTGTTTCAAGTTATCTATTGAGCTTATGTTACGAGACTATACATAGCTAGTTAGCGACGTGTATTGATTGTAGAGGATATTGATTGAGTGTACTCATTCGGCATCGCTTGATGTTGAATGAGTAAGCTTAGTGTCTATAATTCCGTATTCTCAATGTCTCTGGCTTACTCACTAGCTAGCTAGACATTTTGCCTTTCTCCACTTTACCCATTCTCCCGTGCTGTACAATAGACTGCCCATCGTCTGTGCACCAATGACAGAGAACTCTGAAGGTTACCGCGAAGCCTTTCTCGGAGGATCAGGAAGCACTGAATTCCAGCCGAGCCAGAGGTAAACCACACATGATTGGCACTAAAACTAGTCATCATAAAATTGTTTTAAAAATTCAGGTACAAGGAAATGATTTTTCTTACAATTAATTTGTCGTTAATCTCAATGACAATCTTATAAATTATTAAATTACGTAAATATATTAAATAAGAATTATTTATTCTAAATTGTTTTCTAAAGAAAACTCCATTGAAAAGAAACGATCAAAATTGATTTTAAAAAATATTCCTCATTAAAGAGCAAAAGTCGAGCAATCATCTAGCACGACAACTCCACTTATCACCGTACTAGTTCAGGGTTGCTGATGTTGTTAGGATTAACGCTAATAAGAATATCGTTGAAGTTCTGAAACCTATTTTAGTTTATAATGAAGCAAGTTATATTTTTGTGATATAGACTATTTCTTATTTAATACTTTTCGTAATGCCTATCATCTTATTACAAGAAAAAAACTAATAATAATATTTTTATGGAAATATTCATACGCAATCTTTAGGTGTATACTTATTTGTTCTGATTATTCTTAACGGACGGCAAATTGTTAAACCCTTATCAGAGGCATTTCGTGGAGGCTGGCTTTCCGTTCGTCTGTGTGCCTTACATGTGTAGAGGTAGACACATTAATTTGCCGAGTAGCGCGCGACTCTCTCCAAACCCCAAGTAGCTATTGTGCTAGACAAACGTTTGCTTCCTTTGGTTTGTGCAAACGACCGTCACGCGGTGAACAAGGCGAACACCAAATGTTCGTCGCTCGGAAAATAGCAAGCAACCCATTCACATTATTCGAGATTCGGCGAACAATCGCCCGTTATTCGGCGAATACCTCATTTGTGGAGCCGCCTTAAGTTTTATTGGTGATTCCGGGCGGGTCAACTGCTAGGTCATTAGTCCTGTGAGTGTGATTCATGTTGTGCGGGACGTGGCGGTGGAATTCACTCGCCCGAGAGATAGATGGGTGGTAGTGTAGTGCATGTCAATGGGTGTGTGTGTCTAAGTAAGGGGTGAGGATAGTACAAAAAAGAGAGAGGAAATATCGCGCGCGATCCGTGGCCTGTTTATTAGGGCACTGCTCCAGCATTCACCTGGTGTTAATGGGAGAATCCATAGAAACCTACCTATAAGAGCAACCGGTCGCTTCTTCTCCAGACAGCAGCTGAATTCGACCTACCTATGGAGCTAGTGCCAAAAATCCTGCCACCATGGGGACTCGAACCCTAAGGCCTTTCGGTCAGAGGCACTGCAGTGACATCAGTTTATGCCCTGTGCCCCAGGAACCGCGGTTACTAAAAGCGCCTAGCCCCTATCCGAAGGGATAAAAGGCACTGATTGCGACGTCACGGAATAGGCAAAAAGTTAACGGAGGATTACTCTAATGCGCTCATTGCCCAAGAAGAGATTGGAGACGTGTATCAAAGACGTCACTGAATAAAATAAGAGTGGGTACTGACCTGTGATGCGCGCGGGCCGTCCGGCGCGCGTATCCTGCGCCAGCAGTGCGCCCGCCTGCCCGGCCACCTGCGCGCCCAGGCTGAAGCCCAGCAGGTGCACCTGCGCCAGCGGCAGGCCCGCCGCCGCCAGCGCCGCCACGCGGCCCGCCAGCGCACGCGCCACCGTGCGCGTGTTGGCCACGGCCTCTGCGTACTTGGGGCCGGCGGCCAGCGGTGCCCAGTCCACCGCCACCACGTTTGCCTCCTCCGCCCACAGCAGCGCTGCAACCCGCAACGATTCAATTGGTTTCAAAGTCTGCCAAGCGCTGCAACTCACAAGGCTTCAATTACTCGGTTTTAAAATACCAAGTAATACCGCAAGCCCACCAAAGGAAGATATCTAGGAGTGAACTTCGATCGACGACCGACTTGGAGAACTCGTGGCAAAAAAGGAAACTGAAGCCCGAATTATTAAGCTTTATTGGATTCTAAATTGGCGCTCACATTTATCAACATTCAATAAAGTCCTTCTCTGCAAACCTTATTGGACCAAGGGCAGACAAATTTAAAATGAATGTTTTCTATCGAAAACTCTGAGAACAACTTTAAACGCTCTGTGGTGTATTTCAAATTCTACTATTCATCGCGACCTCAATATTCCAACAATATATGAGAAACAGCACCAAGTAACAAACACAACATCTTTATTATCTGGGAGTACAACGTTTTGTCAACAGTTATTTTAGTTAAGGTCGTAAGTATGGTTCATAATATGTAACTCATGCATAAAATGTAATCCTGTCTCGAATGTTCGTGCTATATCAGATTTTAAATTATATTAAGTAATGAAATACCATGTAACTAATTTACCTCTGGAACATTTTGCAACCAACGAATTTACAAGGAACATTATTCAAGTTTATTATTCTTATTTGTCTCAGCTAAGCCCCCCCCCCCCCCCGCGCCCGGGAAGAAGAAGGAATAGCGCAGTAATCGATTGACAAGATTCTATCTGACATTTTAAGTGAAAACAGTGTTTTGATACATGGAAACTCTCTATTGTCACATTTGCAACGTATTAAAACAGACTTGAAGTAAAACTTCTATGAAGAAAATGACATGGTTCTATTTGCATTTTTACGAATATTTATTAGATAGTTTCAAACTTTCAAGATTGTAAAATTGTTCTGTAAAATTTGCTCATAGACAGATGGAATCTAATTGTTCTGAAGCCGCAATAGATTGATTTTTTATATTGCAGATTTTATATTGCACAAATAAAGTCAGACCCAAACACTTGGCAAATGTTTCTCTCTGTATGTCAACGTGCTGAATTCTAATCTGTAGCCAGAATTGCTTCACTACCTTCTAGTTTTCTTCATTGCGAAAAACCATCGTAAAATTGTAGATTTTAAGGAGGTTCAAATTTCAAGGAGGTTTTAGATGTTTTAAAACAACTGGAGGGTGGTGGCGCAATTCTGGCTTCAGTTTCGCATTCAGTACGTTGACATACAGAGAGTAACATGTGTCACATTTTGGGATCTGATAACAACCTCCGAAAACAAAAAATACAATTTCACGGTGGTTTTCGCGATTAAAAAATCCTGAAGGGTGGTGGTGCAATTCTGGCTTCAGATTGGGGTTCAGTGCATCTATACACGTAGAGAAACATGTGTCAAGTGTTTGTATCTGACAACAATGTCGAATACAAAAAAGAACAATTTTACGATGGTTGTTTGCTATTTTAAAAAATGGAAGGTTGTGGTGCAATTCTGGCTTCATATTTGAGTTCAGCGCGTCGAAGTACATAGAGAAACATGTTTGCAGTATTTGGGTTTCACAACATTTTTATGTGCAGTGTTATTAAAATATTAATTACATACAATCGGTTTATAATTAAATTTTATGTGTATCATATATAACTTTGTACTCTTTTTTTTTATCAGTAGTAATCGAGAATACAATAGTTATTAATGAAACACGTTTGACACGCGCAATGTCGTGAAACGAATATTGCTTTTGCATCACGAGGCATTGGTCGAGTGGTGCAAAAGCTGCCCCAGCTTTATTATGATAAATCAAACGTGTAATATTCAATATTTTTCTGCCACTGACACAGAGATATTTTTACTTCATTTTATAATTTAGTAATTAGCAGCTAGAAACCGAATATGTTTGTTTTCACAATAACAATTTTCGAGTATTTTGTTGCTTTAGCGTAAGCATCAAGCATTGTAAACATTTAACAGTTAACGTTTCAATAAATGTTTTCAGTTATATTTAATAATTATATTAGATTTTTTTTTCCTGGCTAAAATGTTCTATTATGTTTCATCAGAGTACGCATTTTATTACTAAGCTCATAGTAACATCGGAATGCGTCCGTTATTGAGCTGTTAGAATACCTTCGCAGATAAATGTATAATACCAAGACCTTTATTGACATTTTTCTCTACGTCATGCAGCAACCAATTACTCCATATTATGGTTTTCATAAAGAAAAGTCAGTCCAGGGCCCTGAAGCAGCACATAGTGAATAACTGATAAACGCTCCTAATGATCTATATGAAATCTTAGCACATATTCAGTCAATTTTTGAATGGTGGCGATTTACCTAAAGAATGTAAAACAGCATAATATTTACAAGGAAGGAGATAGGAACAATTGCCCCAACTACCGAGGCATAAGTGTAACCTGTTCAATAACGACGGGAAAATAGGGGGAAAGCATATAGAGACAGAGTTTATTGATTCAGATGAGCTGTGAGTTCTTTTCGTGAAGGCAGGTCTTGCATCGACAATATACCCTTCGTGAGACCCTTGATAGTCTTCTATGGAATGAGACGTTAACGTGGAGGTATAAAATTAGAATTTATAAAGCGTTTGTTTAAGGTATTATACTATACACAGAGGCAGAGATGTGGGAGATGACAAAGAAAGACGAAGTTAACGTTGAGGACTGTAGAGTTGGAGTTCTGGCGGTGCATTAAAATGACATGAACGGATGAAGTTAGGAAAAGTGACATCAGAGGTGACATATTGGCGTCAATATTATTGACACAGTAAATGTCCAGTAATTGGTGGCCTAAATTGGTATGCAATTGGGTTCTGCCTAACAGACGAAAAAGAGGTAGACCCAAAAACACCTGGCTGCAAGGAATCAGAGAAACAATTGAAAAGAGAAGTCTCAGTGATTAGAATGATAGAAAAAGATGGTAATTAGGTTTCAAAAGACGCCTGCCGCCGTTCTTTTTCTTCTTCTTCTTCTTCTTCTTCTTCTTATTATTATTATTATTATTATTATTATTATTTATATTATTACATTAATGTTATATTATAATATACTATTATTTTTATTATTATAGAAAGAAGAGTTTGTAAAAGTAACGATTTGGGTAACTTGTAAACAAAAACCAGATTTATAATGTGCTACTTCTTTATTTGTATATTTTTTTAAAAAATATGTTAATATTTATTTGTATGCATGTTACTTGTTGCACGAATCCCATAAGTCCGTGAATTTGTGTACCGTGTGGGCATGAGTCTATTAATTCATTTCCCAGAAGGCTTATCTATTGGCTCATCTTTGTCATATCTGCGTCGGCCTCGGTGCACGGTATCTGCCAATCACATGTTATCAGCAGCGGCCGTGTCTGTGAACAGTTGTACCCATTCATTTGCGCCCGCCCCGAGCGCCGCGTCGAATCGTCGGTCCGCTTTCGCCTCCCCGTCGCAGGCGCCCTTCCGCGCCGCCGATATGTTTGTGCACGTGTTTCCGGGGCCTTCACAGGCGCGCCTGACCTTTGCCGGGATATCGCGATCCCGGCTGAGATCAACAACCGATAGTCGTTTGCAGAGGAGTCCCTGTGGATTCGTTGTGACGTTTTTATGCGAGCTTTGTTTGGCGCGGAGGTAATGCTGGCACAATGCTATCGGGGCTCCGCCACCTCGTCCCCCAGCGTTTGTTACGGTATCGCATGTGCATCGTGACAAAAATGTTTCCTGCTGCTATTCAGAGCGCGGTCTACACGCGGACTGACGGATGTCGTTTATGCGGTGGGCGGTAAAAGCGAGGACTACCTTCACCGTTTACTCTCGAAAGAATGTTGAACGTTGTTTTTCTTTTGGATTTAGTATACTGTTCAGGTGCTTTGTTGCAGAAGCCACCACAATTTACGTTAATGTCAGACGTTTCTGATGCTTAGAATTAATTTATGTTTATCACAATTGTCGTAGCGCTTTTTAAATTGGAGTTAGACTTCATTGATTTCAATAGAATATTTAAACAACGTGAATGTAACTGTCATTTCAACTTACTTGATAACTTGTGCAAATATTATGGGTATGCCATTACAATAATCATACTACTTCTCAATGTCGTTTTTCAACTATGTTATTTCACACTCATATGTTATTCGGGTTGTAACTAGCTCCTTTTCAATTTACCACATTACTAACGTTAGTAGTGAAACTAGACTCAGTTCTCAGTCATAATAAATTATTTAGACAATTTCTAAATTGCATTAATATAAATGGAATAAACTGGTGCAAGTACAAGTGTTATAAACCAAGTATTTGGAAAGAAGATTTTCAAAAAATCCTACAGTTACAAATGAATTTCCCTCCCCCAAGAAAAGAGAAATGGGGATAATAGACGTTCAACACTAACACGTTCAACAGGACACCAAATTCCGTGCAATCGAGATTTGCAAATCGTATTCGTACTTCAGGAGTAAATTAACTGTATGTTGTTTAGAAAAGTGAAGAGTTGAAGATGGTGGTGGTCGGCAGGGAGAGAGAGAGAAAGAAAAAAAGAAAGAAAGAAAGAAAGAAAGAGAAAGAGAGAAAAAGAGAGAGACGCAAAGCGCTGGCTCACCGTCGCGCACGAGGGTGACGGAGTCGGAGGCCGAGTCGCCGGTGAAGCCGTGGAGCACGAAGACGGTGCTGCGCGCCACGTCGAAGTCGGACCCCTCCAGGGAGTCGTTGCGCAGCACCACGGGCGTCAGCGGGTGCGCCCTGCAGCACACAGCACGCAGCACTCTTAGCACACCCACAGCACTAGTGGCACACACTGCGGCCAGAGTACACACACACCCAAACACACTGCGCGTTTAACATTCATTCTTAGCTCAAATCTATTCTTTTGATGCCAGTACCTTCATGTTCGTATTAGCTTACCTGGAGTGAACGAATGAATTTGATGAATTGGGTATTATAATGGTATGACAAGAAGCTGTGCACCGAAGAAAATAACCACCTAAAACTTCTTTGCTGTAGGTTATTTCTTAGCTGCGGGTCAATCTACTTATATTATGACAACATTTGGAAGAATTTACATAAACATTGCGTGGAGCACGGAAATTGTGCAATGGTGGAATGAGAGACAGGGGGAACAGAATTCCGAGAATCCACTTTGTTCATCCAGAATTTAGCCGTTCTTTAATTAATTACAATATTGAAAATATTACAATGAATGCGTGCAAAATACTGTGCTCTTAATTAAGAGATTGCACGTTGTACACAATGGAAATCATGAAGGGAAATTCCCTTCTCCTGCAGAACACAGAATCTTATTCAAGAGTATGCCTACTGACCTAATGAGGCATGGAAATGTCTTCCTTAAATTTGTGTTTATTTATTTATGAGCTTTGAACGTAAAATAATAGTTATTTTAGCATCAAGGGCGTTTTAAGGGTTCTAATGATCGAGCGGCGACAAAAATCGCGAGTGCTATTGTTTCCGAGGACTTTTTGTCGCCCGAGACCATTAGAACCAGTTAACGGTACATAAAATATTTTATTTGTTACTTAATTATAATTATTCGCATATATAATTCATTTTACTTATTAACTAATAGTCAACTTGACTCAGTTTGTCATTTTATATTTCCCTCCCATAATTCCCTCCGTAAGAGAACATGTAGCAGAACTCGTCTGTCTATCTGACAGTCTCACCATGTTTTTTCACCACTGCCTAAAAAAATTGTATTGATTGATATTTTATACCCAAGCGTTATTCGCAATGTTCTGTTGAACAAGTAGACAACGTGGGAATGCATAGCCCGATCGTATCCTGGTTATCCTGGACCCATTCATAGGTTATGTCATTTATACGTTCATGCATACACATTGCCATTCTTCTATTTCCGTCTTATTTACAAAGCAGAGTAATCATTCAGGCCCATTCACTATCATACGGTCCAGTTTACGGCTTGCAGTTGTTTCGACCGGCCTGCACTGACTGTCCAAGGTGCCTGTTTGCGTAAGAAGGTATTCCTGGCGCTGACTGGTGACATCGTTGGTGGCTCCTCGCTTTAGCGCGCCACCGCCCCCGACCCCGACCACCTGGAGAAGCCCGCGTTGGGACGGGCGGCATTGGGACAAATAGCCCATTATGGCCTCAGCACTCACCGCACGTTCATGACGGACCTTCAGGCTTCACGTGGCGGTGCAAGGTCACTTTCGCACCTTTTGCGCTCCACTGTAGAAGTGTCTGTAGAAGGAGTTAGTGTAGAAATGGAATAAATCCTTTTTTTAGAATGCGAGTCCATATCCTGAATTTCTGAATCTAATGTTTTCGATTTCGAGAAACCTTGACATATGAGGAAACTAAAATAATTATATTTCCAAAGTCACGTAGCTCCAAATGAGGTAGCATTAAACCCTTTTTTGCAATGGAACAATATCCCAACTCAGCCTTATAGTTCAAGCTAGCATTCATCTGTTTCGGATACCGTTTACGATAGGAGAAACGCAATTTTTGAGCTCAACATGTGGCAACATGATGCATTAACATATTAAGAATACATTGATAAGTAAAACTAGAAAGCAGTCAGAAATGGAGGTATGTCACTTTCAAAATAAGCTCTTCAATTGATAATAAATTTATTCAACTTCTCATTGGAAGAAAACTATTATCTTTGAAAATATCGAAGGTTATCGAACACAGGAAATAAATTAAGTAAAACTATATCTTGAATGCTATAAAATACAAAAATGCTTATTAAATTAAAGAAATAATGTTTACACTTAAAAGCTTACTGAAGAACAGACGCGATTATGATATCTTTAGTATTTGTTTATAGGAAGACTCCGAAAGAAGTTTAAATTTTATAATTTTTGAAAATTGTATTTGAAATTCAACGAAAATCACACCTGCCGCGTTATATAAGCATACTGAATTACATAGGCTTCTTTAAAAAAATCAATAATTTGGAGTCAGTTTTCAAAGACCTTGAAAATGTCCTTGAAGCGTCCCCGCAGAAAAAATTCAAATATTTCATTCCAAATTCAAGGACCGCGTCGGATGGATGAATGGACGAACGGACGTACAATAAGAATCTTTCTGCCGAAAAATCGCCCATTTGTTGCTGCAGCATTACATACTTTTCTTTTTACTACGCAGTATGTAATACGCAAGAAACTTGAAGCTGTAAGACTACGTTTTCGAGTATTCCCAATATTCGACAATTTGAAAGTTCCGCCCATAATTTAGTGAATTAAAGGAAAAAGCATGTGTTATAAAAACCAAACACAATATATGACGCCAGTAAATAACAAGTACATAAATTGTCTTTGATTAGCAATTGGTCTTTCGACGTCACGCATAATTGCGTCGCGAAATTACTTGCCATCCCTCCACATAGAAAGATCGAGTGGAACCAAAGATCGCTGGGAGATAACTACGGTAATTTTATTGGAATATTCCAAAGACGTGTCATTATATTCGCAGAAGCATCCCACATCCTATGCAGGAATCGGTTTTTTGTATCGTTTTTGCGGTTTCCCTGGCCAGCGCGCAATGGCCGTGGCTTCCGTGAAAAGTGGTCGAGAGCCGAGTTGCAGGATGGGGATCAGGCGCGGCGGCAACGTTGAGTCAACGGGACCGCCATCTTCGATCAGTGATCTCCACGCACTAAGAGTGAAAGCACTTCACACCAACAATATTGGAAAGGGAAGGGAAGCGAAAACACGCAAAGAACGTATCTCATGACATGAATTAAAATTGCACTTTTCGCACACTACATACGTAGTATACGTATAACTAGTGATACAACAGAACATACTTCTCTTATTATATCTGACTTCCAATTTTCGAAAATTCAGAGAATTCAACGAAAATGAGACCTTCAGCAGCTTCTTGGGCGTTCTTACCTTTATCATTGGGAAACAAATTGCACGGAGTCGGCCAAGGAAAATTGAATTTGAGCCTTTTTTGTGAAATTAATGGTTTAAAAATTGAATATATTTCACAAAAAATTACGCCAAAAGAATTCAAATTTTCAAAAAAAATGTATTTGGTCTCATTCCATCATCCGGGCATGAACAACATATTTCATTAGGGGATGAAATGTCAATCTCCAATATTAAAGTTGTAAGAGGTCGGAAAATTGTGCTATTGAAATTTTCAAAATTTTGCGATTTTGACGAAAACTGAATCCACGCCATATTTAAAAGATTCATTTACTCTATCCACGGAGTAAGATTAATAAAAGAATTGGAGCAATTTTTGGGAAATTATTGAAAATGTTTTCGAGAATTCATGTGAATTCCCCCAAAATATCCGTTTGAAATTTGCAGGACCTTGAGATCGTCCAAATCGGAGACTTTTTGAAAGAAGGACCCCGATACCGAAAAAGGGTTTCTATCTTGTTCCTGATCACGTCGTGGGTTTCGATCGCTTAAACTACTGGTAAACTCATTCGAGTTGTTCATTTTCTCTGTATTGGCAACATTGAACACATCATTTTTTATTCACAGCGCACAACCCGATTACAGTACACAGAAGTGTGAATAAAGGTGGGCAATAACAAAACCAGATCACCAGTTTGTGAGTTAATTCGGATTATACGCACATCTTACCGATCAACGGATACAATAAAGAAAGCTTCTTATGCGGCCATGCTTCTCTTTGTGTGTCTCTTCTAACAAGTTTCATTACACGTTGATTTCTCCCAATAATTTCCCCAAATAAATACCCACTGATTACCATTTAGGACTAGCGTTGATGTTCTGTTTGTATCATCCGAAATATTTGTACACGATTCAAGGTTTGAATGCATTTTATAAAGAGTTAATGGGGAACGGAAATTAACTGGTACCCACCAGTGCCAGAATGACATGCGAAGGATTGGACATTTCCTGTAAGGAAAGGTGGACCAAACGGCTGATTCATACGGTTGAATTAGGTATCAACCCGGTGGGGTAAATTTTCAGTCTGCCGGGTCATGGATGCTATAGCGCTTATCTTAAAAGGTCCAAGCTGTCGAGGATGCAAAACGCTTTTTTTTCGGTGACTACGTTTCGATCCGCTATGAAAGATCGTCACTGAGATGCTTGGGATAGTACCGATTACTCCCCAAGCATAGTTGCGAAATCTTTGCTTGTGTCTGAAAGAAGTTGGAGGGTAGTATGTGCGTTTTCGCAAGTAGTACAGCTGGAATTAAGACGGTTGGAGAAGGAAAGTTCGGAAATCTTTTGTTTTCTCTCCTCTATTATTAAGACAGAAGAATGTATATGTGCTGTGACAGACACTTTTCCGCCATATAATGCCCATAAGCTGTTCTGAGGGGAGGACGAGGAGAAGGGACGTTATATTTTAGTGAGACGAAATCTCACGCGCTGCTAGTTCGGGCTATGCCGTGTCTTTTGAAGATTTCCACTTTCCCTTTTAAAAAAGTCTGGATCAACAGGTAGCGTCTGCCCCAGTGCCGCTTCCGGAACCATGCGAGCGGCCTCTTCCCTAGCCTGCTTAGTTCCTCGAATTTTAACTCTATTGTGGCGTTGCGGTAATCTGTGACAGCATAATTTTATTTTTAAACCCAGTATAGTAATATGACCTGCAGCCTTATTTTGCTATTATTTGCAAAAAATTGCAGAGTGGAAAAAGTCCGTTCGAACAAATTCACCGATACGTGCTTTTCTGATAAATTTGAAAGGTACCGATTCTTTGAACTTGGCTGAAATTGTTGTAAATAATGCCTCATTGCCTGAATTTTGATGAGAGGTAAATAATAA